ATCTGATTCCTGTAGCCTGCCAATGAGTACAGCCTGGCAGGAGCCAAGAGCTGTGTGGGTTTTTTCTGCTTCCCAGACCTCTGAGTCAGTATTTCAGAAACACTGTTGCTTGTGTAGAGTACCTAAAATTTTCAGAAACTACCTTGAATTGCTGCTCAGGCAGACTGCTCTGAGGCCAGCCCAAGCAAAGCTGTGTACATAGTGCTGGAGGGTGGCGGGCTCTCTGGGTAAAGTGATCTTGATAGGTACATTCTGATTATGGGGGAGTAATGAGTACAGCCTGGCAGGAGCCAAGAGCTGTGTGGGTTTTTTCTGCTTCCCAGACCTCTGAGTCAGTATTTCAGAAACACTGTTGCTTGTGTAGAGTACCTAAAATTTTCAGAAACTACCTTGAATTGCTGCTCAGGCAGACTGCTCTGAGGCCAGCCCAAGCAAAGCTGTGTACATAGTGCTGGAGGGTGGCGGGCTCTCTGGGTAAAGTGATCTTGATAGGTACATTCTGATTGATGGGGGAGTTTGTCTCCCAAACTGTCACAGGGTTTATAGAGGTGCCACTCAATACCAGTCCTGGAATTGCTTGTCAGAGCACCTGGCTATAGGAGCAATGGGGATTGGAGACAGAGCTGTAACTTTGTTTTTTCTCTGCTTAATGGCCCCAGCGTCTGACCTGCCTGCTCACTCCTGTTTGTCTGGACCTTAAGGAGGCAGCTGGGATTAAGACTGTCAGAGGGTAGCGCTGCTTTAGCATCAGGGGGCTAATTGTATCGGGGCTGGCAGCATATGACAAGCAGTTGCCTCCTGTCAAATGCACAGCAAGAGCAAAAAATTCTACAAGGAAGGTGGAAAATATAAGAGAGTCTATATTTTAGTTTGTTCTTTTTTCGTCTGAAAGAAGCATTTTCAAATTCACATGTGGAATTACATTCCTCAGGCCTTAGGTGACTCTCCTTGTAAGAGTCACAGCTGCTTCTGTGAATAACAGTCTCAGGATCGTGTCTCTTGTGAATTCTTAGGTCAATCTCACAACTTAACATTCAGTTGTTGGATTTTACTTTATTAACACATTGGGATAAAGTTCTGGTCCTGAGCATTGACCTCTGGTTAAAGGTCCGCTCTAGGCAGCATTGCTGGTGGCCGTGAATTACTGCGCGACCTTCAGAAGCCGAGCCTTCCAGGAGGAACCCTTCTGTGGTCCCATTGCATGCTACTGAATTGCAAATCACCCAGGTGTAGAGCTAGGGAGTCTTCTGGAGGCTCCCATTCTCCTTCAGCAAAACAATGCTGTTGCAAAGGCCATTTTATTCTTCTCAACGTCCTCTGTGCTCCATGTCACATTTTCCTTGCTCCTGGATGACAGCATATGCTGTTGGCAGGAGCTGGAAGTTGTGAGCCCTCTTTACACTTGGGCTGAGTTAGTGAGAAGCAGGTGTGATCCTGTCAGGCCTTCCTTGCATTTAGCGTTCCTCTTAATCCATTTATAACAGCACTTGTCCAGAAATCTGGTTTGAATGAGCCTGAGATGAATGAATAATGTCAGGCAGTTCAGACGTCAAATATTTGAACAGCTGTGTGGGTGTTTTCACTGGCTTTGTGCATGGAAGCAGCCCCAGGAAGTGAGACCAGGAGGGTCAGGTTGAAATTGTGGCACCAAACCCAAACCCCTCTGGAACTGGCCTCAAAATCCATCCCTGCTGCAGGGGAAAGGGTGTTATGATGCTGGTGGCAGGCTGTTTGCTCCACAGGTGGTGGAGGACTGAGCTTTGCATTCTCTTTTGTGCAATGGCCATACTGGGATTTATGGACTCTTTGATTCACATCAGACACAGATTTTGTGGATTTTGTTTTTTTCTTTTTTTCAAAGCAGTCTCCAAAGTCATAAAACTGGTAGCACAGTTATATGCAGAGTCTTGTGTGGGTACATGGAGGTTCCTTTATTTAACAGTCCTGGTTTGAGCCATGATAGAATGAATTTTCTTTCTAGTAATTTTACTTTTCAGTTAAGTCTCTCCTGAGTAACTGCACTTGCTGAAGTTAGCAGTGTGTTTCTTAGTCAGTGTCTGCTTCTCTAGGACTGATAGTGCTCAATGTTTATAGTTATTGCTGGAGAACGGTATGCAAATCCAAGGTCACTTCTGGGTTCTGCTAACACCTTGTGTGCCAGAAAGACAAGGGAGGACAAGGGCTCACACCTGTGCCGCTCCTGTGCTCCTCCTGTGGAGAGGAGCGAGCTGGACAGGTGACCAAAATGGACCAAACCAAGTATTCTATCCCATACGTGTCATACTCGGTACAAATCTGAGGGATCACAAGGGTCAAGCTCTCTTCATCCATGGCTGACATCCTGGGAGGACTCAGTCCATTTGTCTGCCTTTGATCCCAATCTGTACAGGCCTTCATCCAGCTTCTGTCTGCCACTGAGTCCAGGAGCCCAGTCTTGGATTTTCTCAGGGCTGCCCTGAGGGCAGCGCATCACCTGCTTCATTGGTGACTTGAATGGTGTTATGGGGGGAGCAATGTTGGTTTGACAGAATCACAGGATTTTTTGAGTTGGAAGAGACCTTAAAGATCATTGAGTTCCAACTCTCCTGCATGGGCAGGGACATCTTCCACTAGAACAGGCTGCTCAGAGCCCCATTCAACCTGCCCTTGAACACTTCCAGGGATGAAGCCCCCACAGCATCTCTGGGCAGCCTGTTCCAGTGTCTCACCACCCTTACACTGAAGATTTTCTGCTTGATCTCTAACCTGTATCTCTCTTCTTTCAGCTTAAATCCACTACCCCTTGTCCTCTCACTGCAGGCCCCTGTAAAAAGACCCTCCCCAGCTTTCCTGTAGGCCCCCATTCATAGAATCATAGAATATGTCAAGTTAAAAGGGACCCATAGGATTGTCAAGTCCCACTGCCTGCCATTCGCAGGACTACCCAAAACTAAACTATATGGCTAAGATCATGTGTTCCAGACACATCTTGAACTCTGTTTTGTATGTATTTGTACATGTTTCACTGTTTTATTTTTCTTCATTACTGTTTTCATTAAATCTGTTTAGCTTAGTTTCCAACCTGTAAGTCTGTCTCTTACTCTTTTTCCTTTTCCTTTCTGGGAAGAGAGAGATTAATAGAGAGCATCTGTCATTTGTTTAATTGCCAGCTGGTCATTAAACCTTGACAAGGATACGGTTTCTGAATCAGGTTTTATTTTACTGTGTTGGAATTGCACTTGGTTATGTTCAAAGAAAAAAACAAAATCTGTATTCAGTGATCAGCAGAGTGTTGGATCACCTTATTGTGACTTCCTCAAGGCCCTAGATTGGGAATCCTTGTTTGATAAGAAAAGAAAATTTGCCCTTCTCCTGCCCCTCTTCTTAGCTTGTGAACTTCTCTGCTATGCCCTCCTCTGACTGAAATGCTGCATCAGATCATCCCAGTGTGTAGCTGGCACCATAACACATACTGTCCAAACCCTTCCTCTGTAACCTCCCTGTGTAGGTGGGGATAGTACTCTGCTGGGAATGCAGGGGTTCCTATTATAGAGGTCTGTAGAGCATTTTTGTTACAGACTTAAAAGGGATTTTCTTAAGTATAAAGGTTTCAAGAGCAAGGACACCAGGATTCTGAAGTCTGGATGTCTTAATATTTGTAACTTGTATCACAGTAAGCAGATCTTCTTTTCTTAAGCTCTAACCATAAACCACTAGTTGGCTTGAGTCACTTAGAAGCAAAATTGATGGAAAGGTGCATTTTTGCTGTGTGCTTGGCATCCTTGCAGAGAGAGGGACATAGAGAATGGTCCTACTCATGTTCATTCTTTTGGACATGTTTCCCTCTTCCAAGGCTCTTGCTCCACGTATTCATTATCTGGCTAGCGTTCAGATCTCCTCTGGGACTTTCCAAGTCACAGCTCCAGCTTTGCATGATTTATGTTTCCCACGGCTACAAGAAATATGAAGACCTGTGTGTCCAAAGTTTATGGCCTTTGAGAAGTGATAGGCTCAAGTAATGCCAGGTGCAGGGGTGGTGTTACTGCAGGTTAAATGCCATGCCTGTAAATTACCACCCCCATCACCCACTGCGACTTCTAAGGCAGCTTTGAAAGACTATCCAGCTTCTTTGACAGGTCTCTCTTACTCCTCTAAATCTTCTCCCAAACATTGTGATGAACCGAAGGATTTGAGATTTACTAGATGAGCCATTGCAGTAAGAGAAGGGAGCTCAGGATGTGTTTTGGCTGGCAGCACACAGCCAATAGATGAACCAGTTGATAGGGGGGCTGCTGGAAGGGGGCTGCCCCAGTTACACCCTAGAGCTGACCCACAAGCATGGGCACTGCAGAACCTGGTGCAGGAGGGGGTGCTACATTGGCCATGCAAGTTTTGTTACCTCTGCTGATAACGAAGGCTGGCAATTACTTTGAAGTAAAAGGTAGTTTATGCTTCTAGGGAAAGGTTAGTCTTAAAATCATTGTCATGCTGCCGTTATCACTCATTAAGGGCCTTCTTTATATTCAGGGAACAGAAATATCAAATCCATATAAACAAATTTTATTGGGGGCTTAATGAATCATTGAGAGCATCCGCTCCTGGAGAGTGACAGTAAAGACTGTGTCTGTGTGATGTCCTTGGAAAGCAGACCTTCAGCTTGCCCTGCTATCTGCACAGATACAGACTGATAGAAATATAGCTCACTCTTCTGGGCTGGAAAAGTGCAAGTTTGATGCTGGCAGCATGAGCTGGTGTAAGTGGGCTGGTGAGAGCCCAGTGAGATGGACAGACTAATTAGGCAGCAAATACCAGGTTCATTTTCATAGGTGCCTGCATGCAAATTCATTTAAAAGAAGCCTGGTTAGAATCAGTAATAATACCGTCAACAAAATGCTTGAGAACCAAAATAAATTTATATATTATTAGAAAATGACACTTGTTACACAGTTCAGTCTTGGGTATGTAACTTCACTTTGTGTCCTATTCAAATACACTTATCCATATGTTTTATTTTCTTCCAGGTTCTGGGTTTATCATGTGCAGTGGCAAAGAGAATCCAGACAGTGATGCTGACCTGGATGTTGACGGGGACGACACACTTGAATATGGGAAGCCACAGTATCATTTTTGAAAGGCTCTTGCTGAGAGGGAACCTGGAGTTGCACCTTCAGTTAGCTTTCATGCAGCACTGCCCTGGGTAGTGGTGGATAATTGGTGTCTAGCCCTACTAGAAATGGCACCGCCTTCCCCAGCTTCCATTTTATTTGGACTAAGAGGGATTCCCAGTTGCTGCCTTTGAGATCCTCCTGTTGATGCAGCACTGCTTCAGACCTGACTGGTGGGGTCTGTAGGAGACATTGCAGGAAATCAAAGTTAGTGTGTTTCTATTCTGTTTCATAAGCAATATGTTGTCTTCATCCGGGTTTTACCCATGTGGATAGCTTTTCCTGCTTCATGGGAAGGAATTGAGTTTATTTTCCACAAGACACCCCTTTGTTTTCTGGAGTTCTGTTCAGTAAACGTTTCAAGCACTGTTCACCTGCCTCTCTCAAAAACTGACTTTTTTTTCCTTTTGTTAGACAGTTGATGGGCAGAACTATCATTAGGGGCAGTTTTTGGGAACTTCATCTGGGAATCAGGCTCTTGGGACACAGCTCTGAGAGAGCTGTGGGCAGACTTCTGCCCTGTAGCAGCTGTACAGCCATCAAGGAAGAGTTCCAGAAGAGTATTAGGCAGACATTGATTTAGCTCTGATGAGGGGGAATGTATAGCTATAGAATTAGATTTTCTTTAAATCTGTACCAGCTTTTAAGACTGAACCCTCAACCCTAAGCTGGTGAAAGGTCTCTGTACCTCAAACAGAAGTACTGGAATTGTGCAAGTTAGGTTTGCAGAAGTTGAGGAATTGATTTTCCCCTTTTAATGGGCTGTGGTGTCATGTTGCTATCAGATTTTTCTTTTTCTTTCCACCTAAAACAAAATTTTAATCCAGGATTTAAAAGCAAGCCCTTGCATGGATACCAGCCACTCTTCTTTTGAGTTCCAGTTGGAATGAATTTATTCTGTATCCCAAATAGTGTCCCAATGGTCTCAAAAGCCTTTCCACTGTCTGCAGCAAGACTGTATATTCCTTAACCCCTTGTGCTCAGGTACACGGAGGCAGACGTCATCCCTTGCACTGGGGAAGAGCCAGGTGAAGCCAAAGAAAGGGAGGCACTCCGAGGTGCTGTTTTAAAGTAAGTACTGTGCCTTTGTGATTTGCTTTCATTACTTTTGGGGAATCTCAATGTGTGGAAACTACCCATTCACTTGAGTCGCAAGGGGTGCAACAAGAGAGATGTACAGAGAAGCAAAATGTGGTGGGTGAGTCTGTTTCTACCTGTGCAGTCTCATAAAGCCTCCCTCCACACTCTCCCTTCCATAACAATGCCACTGTCCAGCCAGTGCCATCTTCTCCTTGACCAATGCTGGATAGAACGTGAATTCTGGTCATGGGCAAACTGCTGTACTAAGGTTTTATGCATCATCTTCCTTCACCATGAAGTGTGGCCTCTTGGTAGTAGTATAATGTGATGCCATCTGAGCCTTGTTTGGCACGTTAGGAGTCGGGCACCCAGGGTATGATTTCATTACATCCCCTGATGTGTTGTGAGGTACACAAACTAGTCCTTCTGCCTTAAGCTCTGGGGTTGGGGCAGGATGTCTGCTCTGCCCACATACGTATGTGGAGAATGGAGGCAGCCAGCATTCAGGGCACTTGGAGAGGCATTTCAGGCAAATAAAATGAGTCTTAACAGGGAGGTAGGATTGCTTTCTAAGCCCTCTGCCCTGCATAAAATGGGGCTTAAATTACCCCTCTGTCTCTTTCACTGAGTGATCCTGTGGGGTCAAGGTTGAAGTGACTGATAGAGCACTGAAATGAAGTTTTCTTACTGCTTAGCCTGTCACAAACACTAACACAAAATTAGGTTCCATTCCACAGCAAAGTGGCATTTGCCACAGTGGATCCAAACCATTGGTCCATTCAATACTTTGCTAACTGTGCTAGTCTATAGGCAGGGCCTCAAAAGATGCTGAAGCTCCTTCACAGCCAGGAAAATAGTATTGTAGCAGGAGGATATTGGGTTTTCCATTATCAGTGGCTGTGGATACTTGGTGCTGGGTGAAATAACTGAGGACCCGAGACCAGGAGATGACCCAGTTCCTGTCTTGTGGCTTATACCTGGCACATTGTTTTGCTGTTTGAGCAAGGACTTTGCACATCTCCATGACTTGTTTGCCCGTCTCTAAAACAGGACAGATGATGTTGTTTCTAACACTTGGAAGTTCTGGCAAGTTTCTGCAGAAATGCACTAGGGTAGCTGATGGCCTGAAGCAGGAGCATATGTTACTTTTTGAGTGCAACTGTCTTAGCTGATAGAGCTAAAATGTTACACAGTCACAGGTGTGCAGCCCACTCAGATTTTTCTCTTACATTCTCTGTTACTGGCTTGCAAGAGAATGGACAGGGTTAGGAGTTGTCTGTGCTTCAGGGCTGCTGTTCATCACATGGGAAGATGGAAAAGATGGGGCTTGTGAAGGTGTAAAGTTATTCTTAAAGGGTAAGAGGATTTCTGTTCATGAATGAGGTTTTCATCCTTGAAACTGTGTATTCAAAAATGAGCCTTAGGTCACAGGTGCTGTTTGAGTTCCAAGCCTTTAGTCAGCATCACAGGCCCAGTGAGATACAGCCAAGGTTGCAGCTACAAATGCAGGTTGGAAGAATGCTCATGGAAATGTGGGCTAGCACAAAAACACCTCCTGCAGAAGGCCAACCACTCACATTTTTAAGCCTAGACTGATGGCTAGAAGTATTGAGAGAGAAGTAGTGGGTGGAAGGAGTGGCTTTTCCCAAGCAGCAAAATTTTCCATGTTCAACCTTTATCAATCTGCCCTTTTCTCTTCTAGTGGTGGCACACCCAGTACTCGAATAACACCGGAGTTTTCCAAATGGGCCAGCGATGGTGAGTGTTCAGCTTGTACAATGTTAATTTTTATGCTACAGGAGGGCAGAGATATGTTCCATATCTTCTGATTGCCAGTTATGAGGCAAATGGTAGTTACAGATGCTCTTGCACAGTACCTACCAGCAGATACATATGCACATACAATCACTGTCTTTTTGAAACTTTACAGCACTATTAACTCTAGTCAGTGGCAGCTGAGGGAGTTCCCAAAAATACAACCTTAACTGGTAGAGTGGTGTAGGGGTTGGATTGACTTACTGTCGTGTCACTAAAAGACAAACTGCTGTATCAAACAGGGAGCTATCAGAGCTTGACTGTGAGATGGTGGTGTTCAGCTGCTGTTGGTTTAAACTACATAGGCACCTGTTGCATGTGGTTTTTTCAGATGCTTTCTTATCATCTTCCCTGCTTTAAAAGGATATGCTAGAGACTTGTATCAGGATCTATTGGTTAGGTCTTGTCCTTGCTGGCCTCTGCATGGCAAGAAAAGCCTTGCAACACTGATGCTAGCACCTTTAGAATGGAAACTCTAGGATCTGTCCTTCATGACTTCTTGTTGAGACTCCAAACAAGTGAATGTGAAATTGTACCTTTGCATGCATTGTTTGAAAGCTCATAGCATTAAGGGGGGCAGGGAGGGATGTTAAACCCATTCAACTGCTGGGTTGTTTTATTTAATGCCAGCAGCACTGGCAGTGTAAGCAGAAACCTAGTGGAAGTATGAGACTAATAAAACCTGGCGCTTTCCAGCTGTAGATGCCAAATCCATTTCCAGATCTGGACAGTGCTACTTCAGCTCCCTTAGGAAGGGAACTGAAGCTCAGCGACCTGAAGAGACTTGTCCCAGTGATTTTGTTCCCTGTTTTGTTACTGTAATGCTTTGGGCATTTGCGTCCCAGCCTTGAAAGTACCTACAAGATATAAGTGCTTGCCAGCGGGAGGGTGAGTGGGTAGAGCCAGTTTTGCCAAGGGCATAATGATTAAATGGAGAACATAGGTTATCTATCGCAGGCATTTTCTTTTGTGGGACAGGCAATCACATCTATTTTCTGTCATGTAGGAGCACTCCCTTGTAGGTATGTTCAGCTTGAGTAGCTGCAGCCACAGAGGTGATGAGAAAGCAGCCCTGATGGCACTTGCTATGAGCTGCTTTCTTCATAACTTCTACCCAAAGCCACAGTGCTGAAGCTACAGCCCAGGGGCTGGCCCTAAGACAGTTCATCTGGCTTATCTCTGATCAGTATCTCACATTCCCTCCAGCGCTGGGAGGAGCCATGGGACTGCTGGTAGAGTAGAGGTACAAGCAGACTGTTCTATCATGCCATTTCCCTGGCATATTTTTCTTCCTGACTGTGTTTGAAGAGTCTCAGAAAAAGGAAGAAGCTGAGAGCAGGGTCTGGGCTGGGTGGATTTACTCAAGATCCACCTTTCTGGAAATATGCTTTGATGTGGCAGATACATCAAACCTTTCTGAATTAAATCCTGGCTTAAACAACTGGAACATCTGCAAGGGTCAGTCAGTATCTTTAAGCCCAAAATTACAGAAGTGTGTTGTACAGAAAGGTCCTTCCTGCCAGACAGGAACATTAGTCTCTTTTCTCTCCTTCCGAGGAGTGACATGAAAACGACTCAGCAGGGTCCTCTGCTTCAGGAAGTGTAACTTGCTTGAATATTTCATTGCAGTGATCTAATGTTCTCTTACTAGTTTGTCTGTTCTTCCCTCAGCAGAAATGCCCTCAACGAGTAATGGTGAAAGCAGTAAACAGGAGACCATGCAGAAGACCTGTAAGAACAGTGATATTGAAAAGTGAGTGTAAAGTGGATAGCTTTCATTTTTCCTGTTTTAGGAACCATGGTGGTCCTGCCTGGCATTCCCAGAAGCAGTGCCAGTTGGACAGTAGGCACATTTGAACCTTTTGCCACTAAGAAGGGAAGTTTTGCTCTAACATCAAGCCTGGACTTTGACCTAATGGTGTCCTCACTTGTCACTGCTGTGTCCACAGAGGGTCTGTGGGAAGTTCTCCCCAGGCACCTGCATGGGCAGACACCCAGTGACAAGGAACTGAGAGCAGCTTCCAAATGGCTTTTCCACTGCAAATTGCTTTATTTTAAAATATGTAAATAGATGTATCTATTATTTCCACTGTATTGTAGGTATGATGGGTTTTTCTGATATGTTGTGTACTGCATAACAGCCTAGATTAGAGCTGGGACTTGGACAGGAGATAAGACTCAAACCCACTCTAACCTGACAAAAGCAACTGGCCTGTCAAACTGTATTTGGATTTTTTTATTCCCCCTGCAAAATTTCTTCCCTCAATGTATCTGTATGATCCTACTTTTACTGGAGGAGTGACGTTGTGTCTTGTTTTTTGAGAGCAATCCTTCACATGTGATCTCTTTTCTATCTTTTCCATGGTAGCTTAGTACTTCACCCTCCATCTTTCCAGCAAGGGGGATCTCAGCAGCCCCATAGCTTGGCAGAAGCCTCACTAAGAGAATTTTTTTTCCTTTACATCCAGATCCATCTTTGTATGGTTGCTAACAGAAATTACGTCTCAGTTCCTCAGCTTTTCACCTGCAGCCTTTCCAGTTGATGGAGAAGCTTGAGTCCCATTGTTTAAATGTCCAATAGTGCAGGGGCTCCTGGCCATCTCCTTTCCTGTGCCTTTCTCCTTGCTGGAGGTCCTGCAGCCTAGTCCAGGAGAGAAACAAATGGTTTTATCTGCAGTGTGCATTTAAGTAACAACCTCTCTTCTCAGCCTCTTTTTCACATGCTGCTGGGATGACTTCCTGTTCAGGCAGTTTTGAAAATCCAAGCCTAAAACTACAGGCTCTTCACTGCTGCCAGGGACTGCAGTAATTATAGAGGGGTGGTTGAGTTGATTATTGCCTGACATAAAATGTTGTCTCAAGATCAAGTGATCAGCTTGAATGAGGTGAAAGCAATGAGGTAACTGGCTTTTAAGCAGGGAGTACTTACCATTTGGGGGTGAAGCCCATTGAAAGTTTGGGATGGGGAAGAATCCGGTAGTGAAATTGACCTGACTTTGTAGAAAATTAATGTAGTTTGTTCTCCTTCTGCTACTCATCCTGACTTGAGAGGTTGTGTCTCTGGCATGTGTTGGGGTCTCTGATAGTTCAGGCAGCCTGGCAAAGTGTATGTTCACAGTCAGGGTTTAACTAGGGAAACTCCCTGCTGCAAAGGAAACTTTAACAGTGCTTTGCTGTCTTGGCTCTTTCCTTTTTACAAGTCTTTTTATTGTTGTGTCCCAACGTTGGCTGTCTGCTGTTAGTTGCTTCTTGGTGAGCAGATTTTGGACAAGGACCACTGAGTCTGAGAGCTCACAGGGCAGTGCAGAAGCAGCTTTGTCCTTAGAGTGAGCTAGCCATTGTATGCAGCCTTGGTGGTAAGGACTCATCCCTTCTGCCCTAATCTGTCAGCCTGTGTCTCAGCCACTGCTTTGGCCCTTTGGGCCTCCTGCCTGTCAGCTCAGCAGCCCTCCACCCTCCCAGATCCACTCCTATTGAAAATCTTTAAACTGCAGGAGCCGAAAGGATTTGACATTTTCCAGAACACTTGAGCTCAAGTGATAAAATTGACATAGCTTTAATAATCTGATCAAAGAGGCTTTAGCTCGCACCTTTTGAAGGATCCCAGAATCCTTTCCAAACAACACTTGTGCTAGCTGCTGTGAAGTGGAGGGAGCATGTGTGTCTGTGTGTGTATGTGTATGCACACACACCCTGCTCTGCAATCACCTGCCCCACTAAAGCTTCAGGTCTGCAAAAGGTGGGCAAAGTCAGCAAAACCCAAAAGAAATTACAGGAAAAAACTTAAGTGTCTTGCTGAGTCTTTCCAATAATGTTGATTTTTATTTTTTTTTAAAGTAACAGGGAGAGCTTTTTATTGAAGGTGCTTTATTTTACTGAGGTTCAGAAGGCATGATGGTGTTTCAGGTGCTGAATTCCTCCTTGCTTTTTTCTTTTTTTTCTCTCTTCCTTTCCTTTGAGATTTGTGTGTGATAAATAGTTTCTGTCCTGCCATTTAAGGAGTTTGAATGCTCTGTGCTTGTCTGTGTAGAGGGGTCCTGTTAAATTAATTGATAACAGGGATCAGAGCTAGAAGCCTACAGAAAAGGAGGGGGAAGGGTTTCACACTGTCTGGCTGCTTCCCACTTCACTGCTGAGCCATGATATATGGCGACCCAGCCCAACAGGCTAAATTGATTCATCTCTAGTTCCTGTTTCTTAATCTGGAGCTAAATTGGTTTCATTTTTCTTGTTTTGGGTGGCACATACAGGAAGTTTTTGGCAGCATCACTTTACTTCGTTGTTTGTAACTTCCAAGTTTTGCCTTTAAATCTGAGCATTATTGATTGGCATGTTAAACCCCATGTAGCATCTGATTAGCATTTTTTAAAGTGTCCAGAGGCACATGGCTTCCCACCTGTGTCAGCCTGCTCTCTGTTTAGAGCAGCAGCTAATAGAGTTAGCAGCGATCTGCTTATTGATCCTTCCCTCCTAAGAATGATGTTCCTTCCCCCTCCCCTTTTTCCAAAAATAAGTCTAGGCAAGGAAAGCAGTGTGGTTTTGTTTGTTTGGGTTTTAATCCATTCATACAGTACAGCAAGCAGTCCTCCTTTTGGCACACAACTGAAACTCTTTGCTTAAGCATGTTAATTTAATCAAAGCTGAAGTTTTCCTGGAATCATAGAATCATAGAATCCTAGGGGTTGGAGGGGACCTCGAAAGATCGTCTAGTCCACCCCCCCTGCCAGATCAGAGTCACCTAGAGTACATCACACAGGAACGCATCCAGATGGGTTTTGAATGTCTCCAGGGAAGGAGACTCCACAACCTCCCTGGGCAGCCTGTTTCAGGGCTCTGTCACTCTCACAGTAAAAATTTTTTTTCGGATGTTCACCTTGAACCTCCTGTGCTCCAATTTGCACCCATTACCCCTTGTCCTATCAGTGGTCATCACTGAGAAAAGTCTAACTCCATCTCCCTGACACTCACCATATTTGTAAACATTGATGAGGTCACCCCTCAGTCTCCTTTTCTCCAAGATAAAGAGACCCAGCTCCCTCAGCCTTTCCTCATCAGGGAGATGTTCCACTCCCTTCATCATCTTTGTAGCTCTGCACTGGACTCTCTCAAGCAGTTCCCTGTCCTTCTTGAACTGAGGGGCCCAGAACTGGACACAATACTCCAGATGTGTTCTCACCAAGGCAGAATAGAGGGGGAGGAGAACCTCTCTTGACCAACTAACCACACCCTTTCTAATGCACCCCAGGATGCCATTGGCCTTCTTGGCCACAAGGGCACATTGCTGGCTCATGGTCATCCTCCTGTCTACCAGGACCCCCAGGTCTCTTTCACCTACACTACTCTCCAGCAATTCAGCCCCCAACCTGTACTGGGACATGGTGTTGTTCTTCCCTAAATGCAGAACTCTACACTTCCCCTTGTTGAATTTCATCGGGTTTCTCCCCGCCCAACTCTCCAGCCTGTCCAAGTCCCTCTGAATGGCAGCACAGCCGTCCGGTGTGTCAGCCACTCCTCCCAGCGTTGTGTCTCTTGCACGTAGAACAACTAGATAGCATTTATGTTATTTGCCTCATTCCACATGCCATGCGAGGTCGTCAATTGCTTTGGGTAGGTTGACCTCATCTGTGTTGCATTAAACTTCAAAAAGCAGCCACAGGTAATGGGAGAGGTGATGCTGGTCCCACCTCTCCTTCCCAGTGCTGTGGGGTGTCGCAGCCCTGCTGAGCATTTCTAATCTTGCATACATAAGGTGTCTGGGAGACACCCTGGGGTGCTGAAGGTTCATAGGAAGAGGTAAAAGAACGTCACGCCAGCTGAGCTCTGCCCATTTGCTGACACTGGAGTCTCCAGCAGACAGGCAGGGCTGAGCCAGTGGGACACTCCTTTACCTCAGCTCAGAATGAAGCTTTGCTCAGAGAGAGCAGCTAGTCCCTAGTTGCCCAGGCACCCTCTGAGTCCTCTGCCAGTGTCGTGCTCTCAGCTGAAGCACCATCAGGTACAGAGAGCTGCAAAAGCACCTTCCCTGCAAAAAGCCTCTCTCCCGAGATGCCGCCTGGGAGGTTCTGGTGCCATTTTGAAGCCGAGGTTCCCTGGGGTTAAAAGCCAGCATCTTAATTCAGAGTGCCAATGTTCAATTTTGCTTTCTGCCACCAGACTAGATTGCAGGCCAGCGAGAGAGTCTGGGTTAGTGGCCCACTGGGTCACCTCCCATTTGTTTTCCTCAATTTTGTGTTGTCATAAATTCATTCCAGCCCGTTGTGGTTGATCAGTTTATCTCCGCCGGGGCAGGGAGCGCTGCGAGCATGATATATGGCACAGAGCATTGTAGCCAGCCTCTCCATGAATCACTCCAGCTGTTTGGTGTCAGCCCCAAAGCAAACAGGGCCTGGCCGCTGAGCATTGACTAGGATGAGCTCAGTATGGGAAGAGACATGACGTATGAATGTTTATTTAATAATTCTCTAATATTTCCAGCGGAGTGTGGCTGTGCCTTCTGGGGGAGGGGGTTAGAGGGAGGGGGAGGTTGAAGAGGGAAACTCTAATCTGTTGGGGTGGGTCATAAATCAGGCAGACAACATCATTAATCAGGGATGGGACAGAAGTGGAAGGAGGTGGGACTGGATCTGCCATCCTCTGTGGGAAGGGGGCTGTGCTCTTTTTTTCTTTTTTCTTTTTTTTTGTAAAACAAATCTTGTTTCTGATTCCGCTCGGCCCCAGCCCTGCCGCCCGCATAATAGCAAACCCGGACACGAG